TGAATTAGATAAAGTTTCACTTTCGGTGATTAACGTTGAATCAATAGTAGAAACAATATTTGTCGTTGTTGCTTCTGTCATATTATTATACGTAAATTGAACAAGAAATTCATTCTGATTTCATTTCTTAGTAACTTCAGCAAATAGCGCTATTAATTATTTATTTATTTATATTATTCTTTCATAATAGTCTTGATAGAATAAATAATTAATTCTAGAGAATACAGTCTAAATAATTTTTGAAAAGACAATAATTTTTATTGAATTCATGACATGAAACAATTAAAGTATTATGTTTAATAGAAAATGACTTAGTGAGAACTTGAACGAAGTAATAGAAAAATAATTCATTATGAAAAGAAAACAGCAACTAAAATAAGAAAAAAACCGTTGATATTAATGAAGTTAAGTTTTTAAGAAAAACAAAAGTTTAAAAAAGAAATAAACGTTTTTTTTTATTAGATGACTATTCAAAAAGCCATCTATTAAGTATAATAGCATGAGACTTTCCGTAGAGTTTTCCGATAGAAATTTAAAATATGTAGTGATGTTATTATATAGCATCGACATGAAATCGTGAATTAATATTTAAATTCTTTTATTATGATATACTCTCTGATCTTACATTACGTTTCAGTTATTCTTTTATTCTTCTTTCTATATTTGAATATAATAATTACGTATTCATCGAGAACAAAGTAGTGGAACAGACATACATTAAGTGTATATTAAAGTTACCTTTTGACTTGAACATCTTTAGCAATCACTAAAAAAATATTTTTGGAGCATTTAGTTTAATCAATTTCACTACCATCGGATCTATTGTTTATGTTTCAATTCTTGTTACTTATGACGAAGATGAGAAAATCAGATGTATAGATAAATAATTTCGTTTTCGATCGGAAGAAAAGTCAACTTTGCTGATCTCTGGTCAAATAATGATATGATTATTGCATTAATGATGACAACAGTCCAGTACGCATGTACCAACATACGAAAGATCAGTATTATATGATGGAAAAAAATAGTATCTGCTTGAGTAGGTTGCAATGAATAGTAGGAATCCACTAGAAACAATTATCAAAGTTGATCGAGCTCATATTTTTTTATAGTCTTCCTTTAACTTCACTTTCTTCTATTTTTTTCTTTCTTTCTTTACTTTTTCTTGTTGTTTCGAAGCGACACTTTCACTGGATAAAAACACACACTCTAAAACTCGATAGACGACTAAACTTCTCTCCATCATAGTCGTTAGGAAAAAATGGACAATATTCAAGAAATTTCAAAACACTTATTCAAATTAAGAGATAGTCATTGATAGACTTATAATCTTTGAATTGTAAATGAATCTGCTTGGAAATAATTATTCTAAATAAAATAACATCATACAACATGTTTATTAGAGCATATATAAACGAACTTCAGTATTCTTTAGAAAACCGATCATAACTATCAAACATATTACTTGTACAGATTTTGTCAATGATTAGAATTAGCAATGTTCGTATACAGTTGAGTATAATATAAATGAACAACCGATAACCTATTCATATCTATGTAAATTTCTCAGTTGAGTTTTGTTATGTCTACTGATTATATAAAAACATATATTGATGCTTCAAATATTGAAGGCAACAAATAGTTCATGTTGCTGAATCATTTCTTTCGAAAACAATTCAATTTGGATTATATTGTCGTACAAAATATTTTCCGTGTTTTATTGTGTCTGGCTCCCAAAAGCCTATCTCGAGTTTTTTATAAGCATGTTCTTATCTTCAGTTTAATTGTTTCTTTTTATTATTTTACCGAGAGATTTATCATATCATTAAAGTTTTTTAAGATTGTAATATATATTTCTCTAAATTGTTGCTATTGATTTAATCTGACAATTCGTTGATTGTGAATTCTATGATGCAACTCTATTCTTAAAATCATGAACAACAAGCAAACCATATATTTTAATGTTTCATTCAAATATACTTAATACGGTAGACAAGTGGATATTTATTCATCACCGTCAACTTTTATTTTTTTAAAGTATTTATGCTTCAATCATTCATATGTAATTAATCTGTTTTTTTATTCAGTTAATCTTACCTACACCGACGGGCAACAGTCTTTCCATTTTCGTTCTTTTCATATGGTGTCTCCTTGATCTCAAGTGAATCCTAGTTACAAGAGTGGCTCAAATACTGTATATTAGTGTAGTCTATGATCGATTATGACTTGCATCAATGAAGAATGCATATCATTTAATACAATCGAATAACGTTACAAATGAGTTAGTTGACAGAATACTTCATAGCTAAGTTATCTCTTTTTTTTGGTTTTTTCTGAATGTTCTGCTAGTTTCATTTTATCTATATGTGTATTATCTTGTGTACCGCATTCCTCGAAAGAGATTAGAGTCGACGATGAAGAGAGTTTAATGATTCAAACCAGTACAGCAGTTATTAGATATAAAAAACGAGATAATTGAGTCATAAAACATACTATTACTTAACTTATCTGCAGTGTTGCTCAATTGTCTTGAAAGACGTTTATTCTTCATTGAAACAAATTGTCATTTATCATACCCTACACTACAATAAAGTACTTAAACCATCTTTATAATCAACATTCACTTACGTACAACTAAAGATATTCTGCGCGGAAAGAATAAATGGAAAGGAGAAGATAGGGAGAGAAGAAGGTTTTTGTTCACAGGTGTGTGTGATTGTAATAATTGTAAAATAGTTAGGAATCCAATTTTTTTAAACTGATATTCAAAGAGTTCATGTTTGTCATGTAAATTATAAGTGAATTCTTTCTTTTTCTTTGACCATCCTAGAGGTATATATGAAATTATTGTAATAACTTTTCTTTTAGAAAAACAGTAATCAAGTATTATCGATTTTTCTACTAGAACTTCAAATATTAAATATTATCAAAACTTTAAAACAAACTTTGGCAAATATATAACGGTTGAAACTATGAAACAATGGAATTTACTAAGTGTATTTACTTCTTTATTCTTGGATTTAAAGACTGAATAAATTATTATGAATCTTTGTTTACTCCAAAGTAAATATAATCAATGTTCGATTGCAAAAATTTTAAGAATGATTTTAAAGTTTTATAATCTGAAAGTAAGATATAGAGAAACTTCTCTAATGAAAATATTAATCAGAAACGATTTCAATAGAAGAAGTAATTATGTTTGCTTGGTATGACTTACTAATGATCTTATCAGACATATAATTTTATTTCTTTGATGCAGAAGATTTAATCATATATTAATAATATAGACCATCAACATATGATGTAAAAACTAAATAAATAAAGACTTGTTTAATAGTTGTGAACACAAACTTCTAAAGATCACAAGTGTAACATGTTAAATACGAAATGGAATAGAATAAATATTATGAATTTATTTATTTATTAAGATCTGGACTCATTAGTAAAAAGAGAATCCTTTTCATTGAATGTACCTAAGTTTTTTTACGATATCTTTAGATAATCAAAGAAATTAATGAATGGTCAATAAATAATGACAATTTGATTTTATGCGTTTTGATGAACGAAATATTGTTTAAAGGCATCATTCTAAGCTCATGTAGTAAAGAATTTTTCGCTCTACAAAAAAGTGGACTTCGTTGTTTTAATAAGTTGTTTCTTGTCGATGAAAAATTGGAAAGATTGATCGCTGCTTCACTGCCTAACTGCGCCCTCCTATTATTTTCTACGGACATCTAATGATTGGTGCAAGCTCGTATTTATCCAAGGTGATGCCGAATACTTCATATTTGGCATCGATAGATTAAACGTATTATGGCCTATAATCTAAAGATTTTATCATAGCTCGTAATGGCGTCGTTCAGATACAAAATGTTTGGCACTAACACCTGTTAGTATTTTGTTTTACTTAGATTTTCAAAACTCCTGTTTTCAAAGATTAGTATTTTCAATGAACAGTTTATCATTATCATTATTGGACACAGAATTTTATTGTGAATAAAATGATATAATATTGAAACCAGACGACGTAAATCTTTAAATTGTTTTCAATGGCATGAAGATGGTAGAAAAAATCTTTTGTGTCGCTTTCTAATTTTTGCTTGAAAAGTTGTTCTTTTTTTTGTTTGTTTTTGATAGAATTACGAAAAATCGCAAGATGTAGCATATTTCGAAGTTCGGTGGAACTGATATTTATACATATTTTTAATAATTGTTCTGTTTTTTTGACAGTCGCAGTTCAATGATCGAGTAGCTGTCACTTTTTTTGATTTTTCTTCTTCATAAAAACTTTTTATGAAGAACGAAGTTGATAGTTTTATGAAACAAAAAGTTCCCTATCGAACGATCTTAAAATATGTTTTTAAACTGTGTTGTTATCTTCAAAAACAAAAAAGAAAATCAGAGTGTCCTATTCTGTATAGGTCGACTGTTATTTCTTACATGTGAAGAAAGTACTAGATAAATAATGAGATTGAAGAATAGTAGAATGTAAGCAGGAGATTAGTGAGTACAATACTGCTATGAAAAACAGTGATGGATGTTTTTGTTTGAAATCATATTTATTCAAGATTTTGACAACTAATCACCTATCGAAACCTCGAATAAATGTGATTTTTCATAAAAATCTCACGATGCTTTTTTGTAGCTATGTTATAGTTACGAACTCCTAATTATTTATCATTCTATGTATGTATGCGCGCATAACTTTTTGATTATTGATTTATTTACACAACAGTGTATGTACTTTATTGCTTTTTTTTATGATTCATCGATAGAAAATATACTCTCTGGACTGCAGATTTTCATCCAACAACATTCGATGATAGCTGAAAGTCGATTAAGGCGACTAACAGACTTATATAACTGTAAGTGTTGAGAGATATTTTTTTATTTATCTGCCGTTTTGTTAGTGTAGCTGTCATATTTTATACATCGCTCCAATATATCATATTGATATGCAAAAATCATTATTCTTGCTAACTTTCACTTTCTTTTCAACTATGAGTGCAGTATCAGAATATAATGAAATTAAGGAACAATTGAATAATGTATCAGAACAACTCAATCGAGTTGAATTATTACTCAATAATAGTATGAATCAGTTATTGAATAAAATCGATGATAGTAACCGTAATATAATAGATTTATTCAAATCTCGTTATACTTCACTAGCAGATGGTGAGTTCCTCTGTTTTTCTTAGATCTCTTAAAACAAAGAAATTTTAATCATTTATATTAATTTTATTTTTATTTATCTATTAATTTCCATAGATCAACAACAATCTTCTAGTCGACCAGTTAATGCTCTTCTGATTATTGATGTACAACATGATTTTATTAATGGAAGTCTTTCTCTTCGAAAATGTCCATCTAAACATAATGGTGAAGAAGTTGTTCCAGTTATAAATCATCTTCTTGATTCCATAGATTTCGATGTAGTTGTTTATAGTCATGATTGGCATCCTAGTGATCACATATCGTTTTTTGATAGTCTTCGTCTTCGTTCACAATATCTTACTAATGATTCAACACCTTTAGCTGATCTTCGTCCTTATTCAACGGCAATATTTGATATTCCTGGTGTTGCTCGTATGGAACAAATTCTTTGGCCTGCACATTGTGTTCAGAAAACATCTGGTGCTGAACTTCATCCGGATTTGAAAGTAATCGATGAAAAGAATACACGAAATATATCAGTTATTCATATATATAAAGGAACAAAATCCGATATTGATTCATATTCAGCTTTTTGGGATAATTTAAAATTAAGTGAAACAACATTACATAAATCATTAACAGAAAAACAAGTTACACAAGTATTTCTTACTGGTCTAGCAACAGACTATTGTGTATATTTTACAGCAATTGATGCATTAGAACATGGTTATAAAACATTTCTGATTGAAGATGCAAGTCGCGGAGTAGATCCAAAAACAATCAAGGAAAGACTTGATGAATTTACACAGAAACATGGCCGAGTTATTCAATCTAATCAAGTGAAAAACTACATACAACAATAATCGTTATGGATTTGTTCTTTTTTTATAATCATCAATGGATATCAAATATTTATTAGTTTTCCTCTTTTTATTAATCACTAATACTATACCTATCATTTGTTAATAAACTTTAAAAGAAAAACGAAATTCTAATGAAAATATTTTATATACTATTTTGACTACAAAAATCGCTTAATGTTTAGCTTCTATTTGATAAGTATCAAGTCAACAGAAAGTAAACTATTGCTGCTGTCCTTATAGTACTATACAGAATCGTATTTATTCATCATGTAATATCAATGTAAATGTGAATCGAAAAGGTCAAACATCAATATAGAATAGATTTTATATGAAATGAATCAATATGACTTTCAGAATTAACTGAGCTACATCTTACAAAAGTTATAAGAGTCAATTTTTTCATACCTAACGACGACATCTACATTAATTTTGATATGAAGTATTTGAAAACTTCCATAATATCTTATTAGTACACATTCGAATCAATTTGATATTTATTGCGACAGTTATATCATGAAATTTCTAATAGGATATTCGTGTGAAGCAATCATCACTGTTGCCAAGAACGCTTTGACAGTACGATGAGTCATCTATCGGTCTGCATAGAATGGCGTGATGCTTCGAATATTGGTAGCAACGAAATAAAAATGTATTACTCTATTTTATTTTTCTATGTAAACAATAAGAATAAGGGAAAGAATGAGTAGAAAATTGCATCAATATGATGAGTTTCAATCACCGAAATCGTTAAACGTTACCTCAACAGTGTTAGACGGTAAGATATATCTCTTTTTTGTCTTAATATGAAAATGAATTTTTGATTTTATATTAATATACAAGATTATTTAACATATGATTTAAATTTATCAGATGGTGTTCTTACTGATCTTCTCTCAGACTTCGATGTCAATACAAACGATATCCAATGTATTGATAGTTCGACAAATGATATAAACTCCTTGCATACATCTTCTGATCTTCCTTCATCATACAAGACTACTTTACATTCAGCAGCAATTGACAATAACGGACAAACTCTTCAAACAGAATTCGACGAAGTACTGTCTCCAGAAGTATTCAAATTATTAATTGAACAATATCAACAGCAACAAACAAATAATGAATTGCCGTTCTCTGCTTCAAGCTGTTTGCCAACAGATCATCATGAAGTACTGTAAAAGTAAAAAAGTAATACTATATTTGTGATTATGTATTAGTTTGCATCGACGAATACATCTAACTGTCAAGTAGATCAAATCATTTTTACAAGACAACAAACAATGAACTGCTCTCAATCATCATTATCATCTGTTCAGTTTCCTAAGTTAATTGAGAAACCTGAACCAATTACAATTACCTACGATCAATTTCAAGCAGTAAGCATAAGATCATTTTTATCTTGTTTCTTTTTTGAAAATTCTCGATCTTTTCTAGTTAATGCGTTCTATTCCGAATACATCGACAACAAGTGCTAATACAATTTCCACTCTTCTTGAAAATAGTACTATTATTGCAAATAATATTCCTTTAAGAATTGTTCACCAAACAAGTCATAATCTTATTTCTAATAGTTCAGATAAATTTAGTCATCAAGACTCATTAACAGAAAATAATAATAATAATAATAATAATACTGAATCAATCATTGTAAATGGAAATGGTAATCGTTCTCGACGAAAATTATCACATACTGCAATTGAAAAACGATATCGATCTAGTATTAATGAAAAAATAAATGAATTGAAAGAAATTGTAGCAGTTACTGATGGAAAGGTAGGCGAATAAGTAGTTAGAAAAAAAAATGAAAAAGATTGATTAGAGTGGCAATAGATAAGTCTATCGTCAGTTGATAACATGGACAGAGCAATTGGTTTTCTTTCTTCTTTTTTTTTCTGTTCGACAGCTTACTGATTAGATGCAGTCTATCTTCTAGATTATCTCATCTACTAAATAAAGACTAATCATGTGTTGAAAAGTGTTTTTTTTTCGTATTGAATAGATCCAAAAATCTGGTATACTTCGACATACAATTGAATATATTCGACAACTTCAATCAACTAATCGTCGATTAGAAGAAGAAAATAGTACCTTGAAAAACATCTTGAAACAATTAAATTTGACAAGTATGTTTATAATCATTTTTTCATCTGTTGAATATCTAATTATTTTAATAGATATTTCAATATTCTATTTTATTTTATTTTGATTTGTCGTCTTTTTTTCTTGTCTCATGAGACCTGTTACATTCAAACGATAGATAGACACAAAGCAGTAAGCTGCTGTCATCACTCGTTCCATAGCATTGATTGCTTTCTTCTTTTATTAGTTTTAGATAATGCGAGTGTACTTGAGAAAGAAAAAAAAAGAAAAAAAAAAAAGAAAAGAGCATTAGCTTATATTTCCCTATAAAAAGCCTTTATCTACACTGCGATTTATTATTTCTTCTTTCTTCGATTCAGGCACTGATCGTCCAAGTAATGATGTTGATGTACAATCATCGGGTAAAATTTCTTCGACGAAAAATCCAACATCAATATTTAGTACTGATTCAAATGGTGAAGTATATAACCCTGCTAGAAAAAGTAAAATAAATAAACAAATAATCATTTTTTTCTTTTTTCAATAATTTCTTTTGATTATAAAGGAAAAAAACCAACGAAAAGTAAACGAGGTATGGTTGATGGATCACGATTAGTCTTATGTTGTTTTATGTTATGTGTACTTATAATAAATCCATTTAATTATTTACTTGATCGTATTCATTCATCGAATAATGGTGGTACAACTGAAATACAATCAACTCTCAGTTCAAGAACATTACAAGCAGTAAAAGATAATGAAAATGTTAATACATTATGTAATAAAAATTTTTCTTCCAATTGAATTATTTTTTTTTTTTCTTTTTTTTATTTAGTATTTTTGAGTATATCATGGAAACATCTTATTGCATGGATGCTCAATATAGCAATATGTCTTGTTTGTCTTGTAAAAATTTTTGTTCATGGAGAACCCATCGTACATGAATTAGATATGGATGAATATTATGTTTATAAGAAAAAAGCAGATGCACTTATAAATGAAGTATGTTAATAATAAGATGAATTATTTCCAATTATTTTGTTCTAGTAGTAATAACGCAGTTCGGTAGGATAATCGTAAGGGAAGGAAATACTTTAATATATGATTTCAAAGTGATCATTGCCTTTTATGACATGAACTGATAAAAAAGATTTTCATTTTTTCTTTGCTAAGAGCCATTCTCTATAATCCTCGAAAAGAATTCTGAAATTTCGTCAATTAATAAGTTATCATTCTTCCACAGACAGACATATAAAAATCAACTACTACAACAAGAAAATATTTCTATTTGAATGATTTTATAACTAATCGTTAATTCAATAAAGCAACCATAGTTATTCATAAAAAATTTAAACTTTCTAAACACTTTGAAGTTAGTTTTATAAGAGTTTATCTGTGAAGTAATCTGTGGCGAGGAGCTGTTTCGAATATTTCTAAATCAGATCAAAGTATAATTGTAAATTTTGTTTTATTTTTGAAAGAATCAGTTAAACGAAGCATATATATATTATCGAAAATGTTGTGAAAAACTTTATATATCAATTGATAATACATATATTTATTATTTGTCTTCCATAACATGGCAAATAATTCGTTTCTTTCTTAATATTATATTTGTTGGACGTTGGTTAACATATTGGTCAGGTTGGACTAAATCAATAGATACACGTAATTATAATCGTGAATTAAATGATTGTTATTTACAATTATGGAAAATAGAATATCGCTATTCAAAATCATTATTAAATATTTTAAACTTGTTTTTATTAACAATAAATACATCTATAAATTCAGGAAAAAAATTAGATAAAAATAAAAGAAATGAAATTTGTTTTCTATCGGCATTAACATTTAAAAAATTAGATGGATTATTTCCTATATTTATATCATATTTATTAAAATTTCTTGTACCAATTGATATTAATGATATATGGTTATTAGATATTGATCGTTTAAATCAATTCATATATGAAACAAATATTTATTTATTTAAAAATAAATTATTTCTAGAATCAATACGTATTCAATTTTTTCAATATATTCTTTATAATAATATACAAAATCAACTTTTATTTCAAAATGAACAACAACAACAACAACAACAATGTATAATTAAAAATATAAATGAACTTGATCTATTTTCATGGTGGCAACATAGTTTACAAGTTATAAGTTGTATTTCAAATGATAAACAAAATATAAATAATATAACATCAACAGATTTACTTCGACAAATAAATTCATCAAACAAAACTATCTATTATATGGCACAATCAAAAAAACTTGTTAAGTATGTTGTTCTCTTTTTCAATTAAATTCATTTATGTTTTTAATTTATTTATTTCATATAGTAAACAATATATTAAGATTATTGAAACTATTCATATTATACTTACTATATTAACTAATTATGATGATGAAACAAATTCAACAAGAATATTATTACTTGAACAATTAGGACAATCAAGTCAATTATTAACATCATCTAAGATTGAGACATGTTATATTAATAATAATGAAGATAATTTGGATATGGTAGGTTTGTTATCTTTGGTTGATTATGCTTTTGTCTTCAGCCTCTTGTGCATTGTTGTTGCATTGCATTCACGAAATTTGATATATGCAATGAAAAGGACAGTGCAACAAGAAAGTGGAGAGCTCCGACAACTAAATATATTCATAAATTATTATTTTTATAGAATATTTTATTATTATTTAATATTCTAGGCAATCAAAACATTATTATTAGATGGTATTCTATCATTACGTCTTCGTCTTCTAACAAGTTCAATCACAAATAATAATAAAAAAATCCCATTTCTTGATGATTTTCAACGAGAATTAGATTATTATAGAAGACTAAATCAATTAATGAAATTACCAAAACAAAAAGTAAATAATTTTAAATATTTATTTTATTA